TCTTAGACACTGAATCGTGTCACGTCGTATTCTCAATAGCTTGCCTGACTTTTCAGCTAACATGCTGTATATTTGTGAGCATTTCTAAACTTAAAAATAAAAAAAACAATAATATATTTGCTCTCTCTCTCTCTCTCTCTCTCTCTCTCTCTCTCTCTCTCTCTATATATATATATATATATATATATATATATATATATGTGTGTGTGTGTGCGTGTGTGTGTGTGTGTGTGTGTGTGTGTGTACCACAACAATATTTGCAAGGCTGGATAAAAAAAATCTACATTTCAATTAATCCTTTTCGATACATTTATAACACCCTTTGCTTTTCTCCTCCTCCTCCTCTTCTTCTTCTTCCTTTTTCACACCCTCCTCCTACTTTTCTATTGCACCCAACGACGTGCGTTTTTTTTTTTAGTTTTTTTTTTATTCATTAGTTTTTTGGGTTTTTTTTTTAATAAAGCGTTAAGAGGTCATTTGATAAAAATTGCCAGAGGATACCGTAAGGTTGAAACGAAGGTAGCAGATTCAACAGACCTCTTGATTTTTAAAGTTAAAATCTGTACATGTTATTTTTACTTTCATTTTATTTTATTTTTCACACGTGTATTGAGCACTTTTTAATACGACTCTTTCCTTGTCTGATTCTACTCTGACCATTAACCATTGATATAATTATATATATATATATATATATATATATATATATATATATATATATATAAAGAGACAGAGAGACAGAGAGACAGAGAAAAGAAATTAGGTGAGAGAGAGAGAAAAAACTGTTATAGGTTTTTTCTAAATTTGTAAGAAATGCTCACAAAGATACATCATATTAGATGAAAAGGCAAGCCAAGCTATTGAGAATACGACGTGACACGATTCAGTGTCTAATAAATAAAAGTAATTAAGAGAAGTTTTTGAATATTTTTTATAATGATAGCAGTTTGAGATTAATTTATATGATATATATTTTATAATATATATATATATATATATATATATATATATATATATATATATATATATATATATATATAAAACAACAAAAAGTTGCAAATTAAAAAAATAATAATGTTTTTTTATGGAAGTATTTATTTATATTTTAAATATATATATATTTATTCATATATATATATATATATATATATATATATATATATATATATATATATATAGTTTTGATATTTCAGATCGACCTCGATCTTTCTTTAGTAATAACTGTTTTTAGAGGTTTGTTTACAAGTAGCATCCGTCGCGAGATACGGATGTCACGTGATATGGAATGCCACTATGCATTCGAAATTTACAAAAATTCTTTTGTTTATTATTTTCCTGAAAATAGATGTATATTTTCATGAAAAATAATAAACAAAATCTAAAAATGCTTAACGCTATCTATATTAGAAGATTGAAACCAACCCTTAATAAAAATGAATTATCTATACTGCACAAATGTTTTAAAATGTTTACAGTAGATAGTTTCAAATATCTAGTCGTTAACTAAAAGTTTTAAATAGATTTTTTTTCTTTTATTAAAAATGTTTAAACCTTTCAATAACTCAGTTATCTCCCTTGACATTTGCATATGTGACTACATGATAAAATTGAAAAATTTTACAGTACATAATCTTATCGTTTCTCACTTCACACGTAAAATGTTCGGAAGCGTACAAAAATTTTGTCATAGAAAATGTGATGAACAAATTTTTTGTCTTAGAAGAAACAAGACTCTGATGACGACATTATGGTAATGTCGAAAGTACTCAGAATAAAATGAATATGCATCAACATGATAAGTTTCTTTCTTCTTTTAATAAGGATACTAAAAAACTTGTCCGTAATTACGAGAGGATCCTATTAAAAATAAGTAGACAAAACTATTTATCACTTTATGAGACATCTCTTAACATATATACATGTATATAGTCATCAACTGCCTATCTGTTCATTTGCACACGGTGACAGATTTTGGAAAAGCCGAAAGGTCATAGCTAAGAGGTAGGTGAAGGTGAGTGTAGTGGATGAAACGTGGAGGGTAAGTAATAAAGCTAGATAAAAACGAAAAGAAAAGCGAGGGAAAAGGGAAGAGATGACGGTAAGGATGGATGGAGACAAACAAAAGCAGGCTGACAGGGTTTTTTTTCTCGCGGATTCTATTAATTTTTTTATAGTGTTTCTACCGCTGTGCTCACCGGCCTTCTTTAGGTGTCTGTCGATCCGGGTAAATCTTCAGCCGACCTCGAACCCTTCACATAACTTATAAGAGTGGATGTTTCTCATTCCGCTCTTCATTTCAAGGGTTTTGTCCTCTTCTTCACTCTTCCACTTAGTCTGAATCTACCACCCCAGGGACTGAACAATTAACATGCCACCAAACTTCCCGGCCGATTGAATATTACCTACGTAGAATTTCGATTGATTGTATTTTTTTTTACGGCTTACCAACATATTTTCAGGTTATTTAAAGGCCAGAAAATATCTTTTTAGATTCTAAGAA